GTAGTAGCAGCAGCAGCAGCAGCAGTAGTAGCAGTAGTAGCAGTAGCAGTGGTGCTAATAGTGGTAGCAGTAGTAGTAGTAGCAGTAGGAGTAGTAGTAGTAGTAGTAGTAGTAGTAGTCGTAGTAGAAGTAGTAGAAGTAGTAGTAGGGTAGTAGTACCTTGTGCCGGGGGGTGTAAAGCAATTATTTTGCAGAACCATCTTGGCAATCTTGGCCCTAATCTTGGCGATCTTGGTCAAAAGCAAAATTGCGAGCAATCTTGGTCATCTTGCCCCACTTGCTTGTCGACCCAGTTTACCTTTTCGACCAAGACAGACCAAGGTTGCTGGCAATCTTGGCCCCCCCGCACGTGGGGCAAGTGGGGCAAGATTGCTTTGGCAAACTTGCTCAAGTCATTGTTCTAAATTCCCTGAACACAGTAGTTGTAGTAGTAGTCGTCGTCGTAGTCGTAGTCGTCGTAGTAGTAGGAGTAGCAGCATCAGCAGAACCAGAGTAAGAATTGGTATTAGCATTGGTCCATTGGTGTTAGTAGCAGTAGCAACGGCAGCATGAGAAGCAGCGGCAGCAGCAGTATATAGCAGTAGCAGCAGAAATAGCGGAAGCAGAAGGGGAAGCATTAGATGTAGATGTAGTGGTAGTGGCAGTATAGTAGTATTGTTCGCGCCCTCAGAGTATGCATCGGGCAGGTCTATTTCATTCTGGGAAATCGCGACCTCATGAAGCTTCGTGCAATCCCGAGCTGATCATTACTGTTTTGGGCATACTCGGAGAAAGACCGCCACTTCCATAACCACAGCTGTGAGAAGTTGTCTGCAATCCCATTGTGGCAGGAATTGAGCAGAAAGCTTTCGACACATGTGCCTGAGTCGAGTCGCGAAGAACTCGTGCCTTCGTTGCTGTTGAGGTTTCATGGCTGAGCTCAAGGAAGTAGAGGCCGCAGTGCGCGAAATGATGTTTGTTGGATGTTTTGCTTCCGTCGAGACAGTCTTTTTTGGCAAGTAAGCGCCTGTGCATCTTTGGGCCTGTGTGGGCCTACAATCGTACAGTCGTACAATTCAGGTGCTCCACCGGTTTTCGCTCGTATGTTCCGTGTTGATAGCGCATGCTCCTCACGTTAAAAGAGCGAATCCATCCTCCCACACACATGGAAGCCAGGAACCAGGAATGGTCTGGACTCCAAGCTGGGACAGGCCTCGACACGATTTCGGGAAAGCCAATCGGAAGTAGGGCAAACATCCAGAGACCTACCGCACTTGATTTTACCTTGCTGCAATCGCGCACAGCTGCAATAGCTGGATTTTGAGACATGTTAGCATGCTTTGGTGGGAAGCTCTCCAGTGCTGCGAGACCTTTACTGTAAAAGTAAGCTATGAAGCATTTGCGGAGCTTCAGCTGTTTGACATCGGAGTGTGCCAGGAAAGCCATATCTTTTGAACAGTTCCTGGAGGCCAGCTGTTTGAGATACCTGCCCAGTATTTCAGCACCGAACAGAGCACACGAAGTCATGCCATGAGAAGATATGAGACGTGCACGGGACGCCTTCACCATGCATGACGACATATTTCGGCAGATGTATACTACCAGTAGAACTTAGGCCATCTCACAGGAAAGAGTTATGACAGAATCGACGAGCCATCAAACTAGCATCTTACTTTGCGCAAGCATGTCACATAGAGCTGCCCACGATCACTTGTAGTTATCTGATGGCACCTTTGCATGTCAGTTCAGAAGTTATACGTGTGCGCTGTCAGGATCGTAAAGGCGAAAACATCCAGCGCGACTTGATCGGCAAGCTGATGCTTTGCTGCGTTTAGTGACAGGCTTCTGCTTAAAGATCGATTTTGATTTTTCTGCTGCTTCCACAGCCACAGACTTGCGACTAGCCGGCCGCATTGAAACACTCAAGGAGCCGGATGTTTATCTGAGGAAGTGGCTTCTTCATTGCACCATGGGTTGCCAGGCTTCGCGGTTTGCAAAGACACAGACTTTCGAACACAAGGCATTCAGAGCGGAGTGATGCTTGTGTCCCAGCATGTCCCTGTAGTGCAATAATGTGGGCTGATGTGCTTTCATGTATCGAACTCACTGAGCTGTGCAGTCTTAACTGTCTCGTGGCCCGTGGTAATGCTGGGGCTCAGCTCGAAGAACTCTGATTTGGATGCCGGGCAGCAGGCTTCGACAGACACACTAAAGGTGGTCTGGCAGCCATGCAGCGCACGGCAACCTCGGGCAGCACCGATTCGGGAGGCTTCGACCTCAACGTCAAGACAGAGTGGGAGAGGGAGGTCAGCGGCGCAAGCAATACCAGTGTCCTCACTTTCACCAACAGAGGCGAGATCAAGGAGAGCGCTGGCGACGAATCCCAGCAACACAAAACAAAGAGCAAGGGCATCGCCACAGAATACTTCAAGCGCTCCGAAACAGATGCGGACTCATTTACACTCAAGGGCAAGGTTTTGGCAAACTCTGAGAAGTCTCTCGTCATTACAGTGTGTCAGGGTTTCTCCCGCAAGATCCTCCGGAACAAGATGTTTGCACATTTTATGGTTGTCATCGTCGTCCTGGATGCATTCCTGACGGCGACTGACATCGATTTCAGAGCTCGTGGCGAGACGCCTCCTGGATTGGTGCTGGGTCTGTCGACGATGTGCCTGTGCTTGTACGCGCTGGAGCTCTTGTTTCAAGTCTTTGCACGAGGTGGGCTAGTTTAAACGTGAATGCTCCCGAATTTAGATAGTGTCACAGATAGAATGGCACTTCTAGAAATATCATATCTCCCCCGCCCAGTACTGCCAAGTTGCCTAGCTCCATCGCCAGATGAAGATGCACTACTGGTCTCACTCCCACTACACATGGAAAACGCGGCACGTTATTATGCTGACACTGTAGTGGCCTTTCGAACACTTCCACGCCACGGGGCAGGCTCATGAAGGTCTAGAGACTACGTACTGTTCGCTTGTCCTCGTGCTGTTCATGGCAACGAGCATCAGTGCGATGCTTGCTTCCGCATTTTCATGATTGCATTGGTCCCGAGGACGCCGGGTCTTGCACGATTGGCTGGCTTGGATGGACCTGATTATTATTGTGTCTGGCTGCGTCGATCTGCTAGTGAGCGCCTTTGTGAAGATTGAGTTTCTATCCAAAATCGGTGCCATGCGAGTGCTGCGCCTGATTCGTATCGTTCGGCTGCTGCAGCTTCTGCGCCGAAACCGATCCTTGAAAGAGTTGCAGAAGCTGGTAAACATGCTGGCCACCTGTTTGAAGACGCTGCTATGGTCCTTCGTGTTTCTGTGTCTCGTGATGACTGGGTGGGCCATGCTTATTGTCGAAATCATTCACCCATATGTACTGGAACTACATGAAATGTTCATCGATTGTGAGCAATGCACGCGGGCCACATCGACAGTAATGCAGGCAAACTTGCTTTTGTTCAAGACGGTCATTGCCGGAGACAGCTGGGGTCAGATTGCCGTGCCAGTCATTGAGTCGCACCCTGAGACATCGATCATTTTTGTTGGCTCCCTGCTGACTCTAGTCTTTGGCGTTCTCAACCTTATAGTTGCGGCCGAGAACTCAGTCTTGCCTGTTTACGGCTTCAGTCCACAGTGCAGAGGAGTGGCTTATAGTGGCTTGTTACATGTGCCAAGCCCAACGGCCAGGTAGTTGTGGACACCTTCGCCGAAGTTCGCGAGAATGACGTGGTCAACTTGGCCCAAGAGCTGGAGTTCAACATAGAAGATGATCAGAAAATCCTCCGACAAATATTTCACCGCATCGACGCAGATGAGGACGGATTTGCCATGGGACGGTCGCAACCTTTCCCAAAGAAGTTTTGCTCGGGGGAGCGAGCGAGCGAGCGAGCGAGAGAGAGAGAGAAAGAGAGAGAGAGAGAGAGAGAGAAAGAGCGCGCGGGCAGAGGGGGAAGCCCTTCTGCCCCTAGCCCTGCCGAAAGAA